CACTGAAGTTTAGTATTCTGACAGAGATGCATATAAAGTCATTTAGGGCTTTTAAACATTCCTTGTGACACACTACTTCCACGGGCCAGGGACCCAATGTTTATAAGAGGGAAAAAATACTATTAATTGAAACAATATGCTCCTTTGCAAACCTCCTCCCTAACCACATCCCTTCTAGATTGTAAGATTCCCAGTGGTTAATGGTTTAAGAACAGACATTCTGTCTGAAAGCTATATACTTTTATTCACATTATGGATTATATGGCAATGATATTTTTCAAACTGAGTTACCCTGCAACAGAATGTTGATCTACCTGGTTTGACAACACAATGATTAAAGCAATACACGGTTATATTTTCAAAGGAATAAGACATCCTACTTCAGGACTGAACATTATTTATCCAATAGGTGTTAACAACAAACATCTGCTATCAGACAACAGGTCAAAACTACATTTGGCAGACCAACAACCTGCCATGAGAAGATAATCAGCTGCACATTTCTTGCTTCTAAATCATCAGAGACAACCCAAGCTGGCAAAAATACAATAATTAAAATGACAGCAAATCCCAGCAGAATTTGACTTGGGTAGTGAGGACAGGAAGAAGCCCAGAGAATCCCCTTTGGGGTTAAAATTTTAAAAGACAAAACAAGGTGCAGTTACATGTTTGCTGTGAAACTTGAATGCTAACCAGCAAAATAATGGTTTTTTTATGTATGAAGCTATTTAATACATTTCCTTCTACCCCCTTCTAAGGGATTTCAAATTTTGCTTGTTTTTAAACTGGATGGGTATACAATAGTGGAACTCAACCTTTTGGTCTTGTGGGTCAGATGAGATTGGCCCTGTGCCACTATGTTCAGGGCCCTGCATTGCCCTCATAACTCCAGGGTCTGGCTTTGCTCCACTCTGCACACCCCCATGCCCTGGAATCAGGCCCTCGCCTATTCTACACACCCCATTTAGCATGCAAGGCCACAGCCCAAAAGGCTCCCCACAGACCGAGGGGTTGGATTACATGGTGCTTGGAGCCAGATCTGACCTGCAGGCCAGAGGTGAGCATCCCTGGTATATAACGATCAACTTACCGCTAGGTTTTCTTTTACCGGCTCCAAACTTCCAGTCAGTAGCCTTGGAAGACGACTTACTAGATCCCTGGTCTACAATTTAAAAATGGAAATAATTATTGTTCATAAAAAAAAAAACAGCTTAGAAATCCACTCATGGAAGTCAATTACATGCCTTTTGTTCACATTTTTACTTCTGTACTCTCACATTTCAAACAGAAGAACACAGAATAGACAGAAGTACAAAAGCTGGAGTCAAATTTCACCATTCCCTATTTGAAACAGGCTAGGTTCTAGACACATGGTGAAACTGCAGAGACACCTAAAGACTAATAGCAGGTTGAACCACCAACCCTCTCTCAGTTCTTAGTATTTGTTCTTTTGTAGCCAATAAGTTTTGAAATCTTCAGGTGCTGGTACCTGTACAGGACTTATCGACTAATATACTTTACCCCTCCACATCAGCCTAAAGGCATGGAACAGTGATCCAACTTCAGAAAGTTAGCAATGGATAGGGAATTTCTACAGAACACTTGCTCCAATGTAACTGGGAATCTGCCTGGCTCCTAGCCCAATGTAAGGGCAACTTTGCCTTGAAGCTAAAGTATTTTGGTTTAGCTTTTGCTCACTATGGGGGGCAAGAAAGGGCAGATAGACAGTTACTATACCTCAACTGCTTTGCAGAAAGTCCCCACCCCACATTCACTCATCACAATTTGATTCTTTGTCCATACCTTGAGAAAAAGAGCATTGGCAGTACATCCTCATTCCATTCTGTTATTAGGCTGACATAAGGATTTACCATCAGACTGAAAAACATGTGGTTTTGTAGTGTTTGACTATTTCTCCTTTCTTCTCTCCAATGTCAAAGCCCAATTGCCAAATGTTATCTTTTTGGTTAAAGAACACAGGCCTTTCTGGAACATGATAATTAAGGAATGATGTTTGAATGAAACAACTAACCCATCTTTCAGAAGACTGAATCAATTGCCAATGCCTTGAAGACCACAAAACCAGGCACCTGATCTTCTATGTGATCATGTACTGTACTGCCAATAGATTACTGGACTCAGCAGACAGCCAGGAGCATATGCTGGTATGACACTTAACACCATGATATACCTATCATTGCGCACATCTACACATTCATAAATGCACTTTTGCTACTGCACATTAAGTCGAGTACCTCTATATGAAGTACTACATAAAAGTGCATTAGGCTGCCCTAGTGCACAGGAGCAAAAGCGAATGCCTTTTTAGTGACAGTTAATGCACAATAGACTAATTCAACTGTTCATTAGCATATTAGCACTGTTTTGGACATGAAACTTTGATGTGCAATACAATAGGCTACTGTGCATAAAAGCTCATGTGTAGACTTGCCAACCGACGACTTAATTACATTGCAACATTTTGAAAAGATGGGACACCTACAACATCAGAGGTCCTTGCTAGCCTTCTGCAGTAGGTGACTGTAACCTTTGTAATACTTCATGTAATACCGCACAAGCATTTTTAGGTTAGAGAGAAGTAGTTAGCTGCATTAGTCTGATGTCAGTCAGAAGGCAGCATAAATATGCACCTTTATAGACTAATGAAATAAGATATATTAGGTTAGTCAAACATGTTTCAGGATCATCCTACTTTCACTAACAAAATACTTCAACATGTCGACGTATCTTACTTACTTTCTGTACACTTAATCCAAGTTCTTTTTGGAAGAAACCCAATCTGTTATCTAATCTTTCCACAGAAAACATCAGCAAAAACGGAGCTCTCGAGACCATTCGTGCAATTAATTCCTTATCAAATTTTTTTGATTTTAAGTAAGCCACTCTAAGAAAGAGAAAAAATAAATTGCAGCGACAATAATTTTATTGCCTCCATCTAGCTGCTCAAATTCCTCAGTGATATCTTGCAAATAGACAGATGTTTTAACATTTAACGTGCAACCCAGCCGAAAATAATTAGAGAAAAAAAATCTGCAGTTATCATAAAAGCTAAATACCATCCCACCCAATTAATTAGAAACAAAATAAACATCAGAACAAAACATTAATACTGAAGACAGACTTTTAATTCTTTCCAGCTGTATTTAAGCAGATAGCTATTTTAACCTGTGTTGAAGTACCAGCCTATTTTATGGATTAAGTATAAACCAAGCAGTGAGGCCATGCCTTCTGTTGTTTTAATGAAACCTGCTTCTTCTGCTTTGGTCAAACTCAAAGAGCTCAGTGCCATCCTCCCTCTCACATTCCTCTTCTGCCAATATCCAAGAATAGAAGCATACAACAATGTAACCTATAGAGAAGCCTTCCAAACATGTGCATCAGAAGTCAGCTGAAATTACTTCTGTAACAAAAGATCCATACTTTTGGTTTTCAAAACCAAGACTTGGTTATAAAACATCTGGTTGTCAGAATACTGAAGGAGAAGGTCAACATTTCTGTTTAACAGAGGTTTTTTCCTTTCCAGCTTCTCCTCCCCTCACCTCTCCTGAATCTGCTTGCTTCAGCAAAAGTAAAGTCCTACTTAAAATACTATCTACAGTAGATTATTATCATGGCTCCCAGAGAGAAATTACTTTAATTTGAAAATATTTTCTTTGTTCATAGTTAAACAGAACTACAGAAGTACCTGGCTGTTAGGCCTGTGCGAAGCGGCTAGTATTCGCTTCAGATTCGGACTCGGCCAATTCGGGGGACAGTGATTTGATTCGGTGATTCAAATCACTGTCCCAAATTGATAAGGCTGAATCACACAGGCCCCTGCCCGCTCTCCCAGCCCCAACTGCCCCAGCTCCCGGCTCTTTAAAAAATAAACCCCCCCACTAACTGGCTGCTGCCAGGAGGGGGGCATGATCCCTGCTGCCCCTCACTGCCCCATGCTGCGTGCGGGCTCTGCCACAAGCCCCCCAACCCCTGCCCACTCCCCCAGCCCCACGATGGCTGCCCCACCTGCCCCTGCTCCGGCCCTTTAAAAAAACCCAAACAAAAAAACAAACAAAAAAGCCCAAACTCACTAGCTGCTGCCCAGCAAGGAAGGGGTGGGGGGGAGGAGGGAAGGAATCCCCACTGCCCCATACTGCGTGGAGAGCTCCCTGAAGCCCCGAGGCCACTGGTGCAGCTGGTAAGTGCGGGGTTTTTTGTTTTGTTTTGTTTTTTCTTAAAGAGCCGGAGCTGGGGCAGGCAGGGCAGCCATGGGCAGAGGTCCCCCCACAGTCCCCTCCCCCTCCTCCAGCCTCCCTTCCCCCACCTCCTACTTACCAGCTCAAAGTCTGGGTCCAGCCCCCCTGCCGCAGCAAGCAGTGACTGTCCAAATCACCAAAGCTCTCCGAATCTTTTCCAAATCAATTCGGAGAGCTTCGAATCGATTCAGACCTTTTAACTGGTCCCGATTCAATTTGGATTTGGAGGTTCAGAATCGGGCCGAATCTCCTTTGAATTGAATCAGCACCCGAAGCTTCGCACAGCCCTACTGGTTGTCATCTCAATTTAGTATCTATAAGAATAGATCTTATCTGAAAATACTTATATGGAGTAGATTGAAGAATGCTTCAGGAAGCAAAGATCCTGAAAACTAAGCTTGCTTTGTCACTTCACAAAAAGAACACCTCCCACGCAACTGAAAAATAAGGTCCCTTGGGCAAACCCCACAATGAGAAAAATAGTCCTATGCTGTGTTTGCTGGACACAGAAACAAGGCTGGGATTTCTCTTGGGTCCTGACCTGGGACCAAGTGTGTGTGGTTCATCTTTCATATTGGTTGCTAGACAGTAAGGATCCAAAATGAAAATGCAGCAAGATGTGCATCATGGACTTGAGAGTAGAGAGAGAACCAGGAGTTTCCCTTGTGCAACCCCCTGGCTATCAGAGTTGGGCTTTTGTTATTCTACCCCACAGCCAGCCTCTATTTCCCATATATCATTAAACACAACCTGCAAAGTATTCCTAACGTGAAATGGGCCTCATAATGAAATAAAAAAAACCACACAACTCTGGGGGTCTTTTTCTTTCCTTTTGGTTTGGCAAGTCATAAGTCTTCATATTTTCAAGCTTTCCTCTACAACCGCAAGGGCTACAAACTTTACAAAAATAAATTAAAAAAGTAAAAGACTGATTCTTTTGCGTTCATGCAACTCAAAGAACTTGCGCTTTAAAAACAAATACCAGGTATGACAAGGTTTACGATAATCTTGTAAGACCTGGCAACCCCATGAATTTTCAACTTAAAGGGACCAGCAATTTTATAAAGTATGCTAATAGTTTATTTTGAAATGTTGTTAACGGTGATTTGAATCTAACTGGTGCAGCTGCATTACAGATACTGATTTGCAACAGTCACAATTGTTATGAATTATGGAATGTTTTGACTTTTACAGTGTTTAATCTCAAGTCATAAATGCCAAATTTATTGAAACTTGTGTTTCGTTCCCGGAAACATGGAATCCATAGCAATATAACATTCCAAAAAGTGATGTAACCAATACTGGGTCCATCTGTATGGAAGTGTTTAGGCACAGGTGATATACCTCCTTTCATCTAAAAGATACATTCATTCAAATATACAACTTTGCAACATACATACTTTGCATACACAGCTTTGCAACACATGGATCTTCCATATTAATTTAAAAGCTGCACATAAACATACACGAATGCCAAATAAAGTGTCAACAGGGTGCTGCAGGACTGATCACGGTGGATCCTTTGCACCAGAGGCCTGCAGCACAGTGGTAAGTTTTGAACACACTGCAGAAACTGGGGGGCTAAGAAGCAAGGGGTAATAGGGTCAATCTCACACACAGAAATTTAGCAGAGCTTTCAGGGCTCAGGGTGGACCACTTTCTGACACAGATTTAATGGTTAACCATACAGTTGGTCACAAGAATGACTTTAAAGATAATCATAATTAGCAGTGTAGACAGCCTAAATATACATGCCTATCAGATCATGGCATATAATGTACCAGCTCCCAATAAACTGAAAAAAACCCAGGGAAACTGAAGTGCTATCATATGCCAACATAATGTCCCACCAATGAAGAGATGTGTGGCAACATGGGATGCAGCTCTAAGATGCAACTGTTAGAACAATCAGACAGGTTCAATTTTAATGGATGTCTATGTATGTTATCCAGCTTACTTTGTAGTTATGAGATTTGTACTACTGAACAGAATGAGTCTAAAAGGTGGCCTTTTCAAACTAAGTAGCTCTGTATGGCTCAAAATCTAAAGGTCTTTTGAAAATGAAATCATTACCTAGCTGCTATTAAACAATTAATTTACCACTTGAAATTTCAACTCCTGGAGTTACTGAGGACACCCCAAGAACTCAGTGAATTAAAAGCATGCACATGCTCAGCTTACTTGAGCCAGAAATTCAGAAGCAAGGTTACTGTCCCCACTGAAGAGCTGTTCTGTCATTTCTATTATTCCCTGCTCCAGATAAAGGTAGATCTGTTCCACTTCTATTAGCGCTTCTCAATTATGTAGCCAAATATTTAAGCTACAAGAGATTTTAGTTCACCTGAGCATATAGAAACATAAGGCAATATGGTATTTTTATGTTTGGCACAAGGGATCATCTCAGGGGTGGGCAATTATTTCGGATGGAGGGCTGATTAATAAGTTTAGGTGAGCTGTTGAGGGCCGCATGGGTAGCCCTGTCCCTTGACAGTTGCCCCATCCCCTAACCTCTGCCACCAGAAATACTCTTTTTGGGGGGGGGGGGGGGGGGGGGGGTGGTTGTCATCTTAGAATCAAAAAAACCCCAAATCATACACTAGAAATCAAACACCAACTATGACATATTTTAATTTTATTACAAAAAATTGTCATGATTTGTGCTTCTGTACTGTATATAGAGGGGACTGCATAACTCAAAAATAAAGTCTCACTCTTTTATATTGTATATGGGGGTGTGGGGAGTATATGGTGAGGTATGGTGGGGTGTGGCTGCGTGGGGGGTTGTGGGGAGCAGGGTGTGCGCAGCCTGGCTGGCCGCCTCTATCGCAGAGGCTTCAAGCTGAGCACCTGCAGTTTCCACACTCACACCAGGTGAAGCGCCGTGCTGGACTCCGCGGGGAAGCAGGGGGTGGGGCTCCGAGTCCACGGATCTGCGCAGCATGGGGCGGGGAAGGCAACCGGGGTCTAGGTCTAGCAAGGGGCTTTCCCCAGTGTGAGTGCAGGAGCAGCAGGTGCACGGCCCTCGTGATGGGGGTGACGGCAGGAGCCAGCTGGGGACTCCTGATGTGTTCTGCGGTTCCGGTATTGCAGCTGGGAACCGTGCGACGCAGCTGGCTGTGCACCTCCTGGCAGTGCATGGGTCTCAGCTAAAATGCCAGGACCACAGAATGCAGCAGGAGCCAGCCTGACCCCCGTGGTTACCAGCCAGATCCTGCTGCTGCCAGCCCCAACTCCAAGGGCACTGTGCTCCCATTGCTGCCTTTCCCCTGCTGCTTCCCTTACTTCTATGCTCCAGCAGCACGTGGTCCCCAGCTGCAATACCGGGACTGCACAGCACAGCAGGAGCCAGCTGGGAACCGCATAGTGCCAGGTGGGCCAGGGTGGCTCCTGATGAGCCAGTGATCCTCCCTCTACCTTCACCCGTTCTTTGTCTGAGAGTGGAGAATCAGATGAAGCAGAGCAAAGAAACAGCCCCAGGGTCACCAGTCTGAAGCCCCTGCTAGACAGAAGCTTCTGGCTGGGGGTAGAATGGGGCCAGGTGGGCCTTGCTGCTGGTACCTTGTCATCTTTGACAGGCAGCCACGGGAAGATAATAATTAATTTTCTAATTTTTTTTTAGGGGCGCCACAGGCTGGATAGAATGGCTTGGTGGGCCGGATCTGGCCTGCGGGCCATATTTTGCCTGCCCCTAGATTATCTAGTTCTGTTCTATTTTAATCCATTATAATTCCCAGTTTGATAATTGCTGTATCATTCCTTTCACTTTAGGCAAAAGGCAATGTAGCTATACTATTATTTATTCAATTTGATTTAAACTTTTATCATGGTAACAGACAGTACCAGGATATTATGTCAAAACTTCCCTTTGCCAGCAAATTAAGCTTTTGCAAGCTCTAGCTGTATCAGTACAGAGAATCAGCCAAGACCTCTTCCCACAGGGCGGGACACAATAATCAGGTTCCTGGAAAACGATGCAAGGAGTTCACTATTTCCAACTGTTTTCTCTGCTCTTAGATAGTCAGGTTCACTTCTACAGTGAACCCATCAGAATTTGGTTGCAATTTAATTGAAGCTTCTCATTCTGAGAGTAATTTTGTTAAATTGCTATACCTAAAAGCACCATTTTAGAGTTTTCTGTCTTATACATTTGCTTGAATTTTTATTGTTTTCTTGAGCAGTGGCAGCCTTAGACGCATGTGAAGTGAGATTCCTAAGCTATTCAACCCTAACTAGGGGTGCACCGATCTATCGGATGGCTATTGGATCAGCACCAACAAAAAGGAGAAACTGATGTTATCAGCTATCACCTTGTTTTAGTTATTGCAGCCAATAATTATGGCCAGGTACCCGGAGCACCCTGGCAAGTGTAGTCCGGTCTCAACACGCCACTGCTGGCCTGAGCCCACAGCAAACTACAGGTCTCAGTGAGCAGTGGAAGGAGGGGGATGCCAGGGAGCGGTCACAGCAATGAAGAGACCCAGCAACAAAGGGACCATTACTGATTCCTG